AGTGCATATTGTGCAGGGCAGTGTAGAAGGTGAAGTTGACACAGTGTGTGCCCTTGTTTGCGATGTGAAACCTGATGAGGAACAACTCCTTCAGACGCTCCACAGTGAACTGGACCTTTCCGCCGGTCTCAGCAGGGTCTGAGGTGATTTGAATGCCGCCCTTGTCAGCTGTCATCTTTTTCCTGTGAGACAGAGAGAAAGACCTGGTCAGGGTGCACATCTGTAAAACTTATAACCATAAAAAAGTGTAAAGAATTGAGTCAAACTTTTCCCATTCGATTCTGGTCATGGATCTAGGTCAAAACTCTTTATCTCCCCTTGTTTTTCGTCTCCATTAACTGTCAAATATGAGATGAATGCAAACTTGCCAGACAGTAAAAACATTTAATTGAGTTTCATTGAAATTGTGTTAACATTGGGTGGAGAATTGTGTTTGAATTCCATTATTTCTCTTGGGGGTTTCAAGAGTTTTATTACATTTTTGGATGATAATCTGCCTAGCTTTTTAGAACGACAGGAAATGAGGGAAAAGGAGAGAGGGGGTCGAAAAGATACAAAGGTCACAGGCAAGATGGAAACAGCAGTTCATGCTTGGTGCCCTAACCCTTAATCCACAATCTACCACTAGAAAGTCTATCACAGGGATGAAACATATGGAAAGACAATTATTCACTCTTAGATTCACTCGTATAGGCAATTTAACCGTTGTGGTTGAAATCTGAAATGAGTCCTTCAAACAAAATGTCTTTATATGTTAATAAGGTAAAAAGTAATAAAACCAAGCAAAGGGGTTCAATATCTCAGAGTTATTCTGCAGTGACTGATACTGCGGAAAAAGTTGTGACACATTATATAGGAGAACAACTCAACCTTGTGACTCCTTGTGGGAAAGGACAAGGAGCAACTGCCCTGAAGTGATAATGAAATGCTACAAGGTGGTAAGCAGAACTAGTTTCAACCAGTGAAAACAAGGATACAACAGATGAGTCAGGGGAAAGCACATATCCCTTCTGATGAAGATGGCTAAGCAATGGCTGTACATCTTAAAGAAGCTTAAAAAGGCAAAGTACCTGTACCAAGTTCTACGGTAAAAAAGTGACTGGAATTGTCACAAATTGGTGTAAATGTACATATTTCTTTTAAATATACATTTGTTAACCGTTATCCCTTTACTGCTATGATTATATATTTTGCCCTATTATACTGCTCTTTTTATATTTGAGTATTTTCTACTAATTCTGTGCGTGCATTGTGATAGTTCTTTAGATGCTTCTAGAAATGATTAGCTATTTTTAACCCCTCAACTTGAGAATTTAGCAGAGCATATTTTGCAATCTGCTTTACATTGTCATCATTGCTAATCAGAAAATACCTGCTTCCTTTACCTGCTATACACAGCACTTTTTTTGTATGTGGTCGTTGGTATGTGGTGCTGTTGTATGGGAGTCGTTTTTCAATTGTGATTAAATAAGCATACTCAGACTGATATAAATGGTAAATGGACTGTACTTGTATAGCGCTTTATCTAGTCTTTGCCACCCCTCAAAGTGTTTACATACTACATGTCTGGTTGAGAGGCGACCGCACTTCCTCGCAGCCACAGTCCGAATATATGCTGATGTGCATTCCTAATGACAATAGAGTTGAACCTTGACCTTGACAAAGCCACATGCATAATGTAAGAGCCCCTTCCACACCTATCATGGACTCTCAATCCCTCTGCTGCTCCAGTTACTTTCTTAATTTAGCAAGGCAAGTTTATTTATATAGCACCTTTCAACACAAGGCAATTCAAAGTGCTTTACAAAAATGAAAGACATTAAGAAAATGGCAAAGCAAAGATAATAAAATAAACATTAGTAATGCTCAACACCCTGTTATCTCCTAATGATGACCTCAACTGAATCTATTAATGCATGGGTTAAGCTGGATGTGATCTCATGTGAAGAGTTTTATTTTGAAAAGTAACTTAATGGATGCACATGTAAAAACTGGGGGTAAGCACGGAGGCTTACACCTTGCACCTACAGTATAATGACAACGTTATACTGTAGGTGATAAGGCACATACCTGTTCAGCTTTAACTTGCGCAGGATTTCCGCTGCCAGCTTTTTCTTTGGAGTGAGTACCGGGGTCACCGGGGTAGAGGGGGCAGAGGGGGCAGAGGGGGCAGAGGAGGGTGAAAGTGTCTTTGCGGTCTTCTTCTTGGAGCCAGAGCCAGGGGTGTGGGGCGACTGAGGGACCCGGGGCCTCCTCGACTGGTCACAGTGCACTGGAACCTACAGCAGAGATTCAAAATATTGGTTGCGTCTTCATTTTAATTCTGTATTTAAAAAATAAATAAAGCATATGCACAGATTATAAGACAATGTTGCCCGTGGAAAAGACATGCAAAATGCATAAACATCTCTCCAACATATAAGATCATTTTCTAATGACATTTTCAGAGGTGGGAGAAGTACTCAGATCTAAAGAATACAAAAAGAAGTAGAAGTACCAGAGTGAAGGAATACTCAGTTACAAGTAAAAGTCATGCAATCAAAATGTTACTCAAGTAAAAGTACAAAGTATTATCGTCAAAAAATACTTAAATTACAAAAGTACTCCATTATGCAAAGTAGCCCATTTAAGAATATATGAATTTGTTGATTATAATTATTGATGCCTCAATGTGTTTAGCAAAGTTGGTAAAGGTGCAGCTAGTTTTAATAACATGTCTCTCAAAATTGTACTTAAGTAAAATATTTGAGAAAATGTACTACTTTACATCTCTGGACATTCTGCAGTTGGTAGCTAGAGTGGGGACACTTTGCACTAGTGAAATGACGGCTCATCTTACCTGAGGTTTGACATTTAAATAGATGTTCTCCTGTTTTAAGAAGGCTTTGTTGGACTTCACTAGGGCGTAGACAACAGAGGAAAAGCTGGGGTCTTTAAATCCTTTCCTGTGACAATACAAACACAACAGGAGTATCATAACAGCCAAGTCCAACAACTGCATGTGACACATGCTGATTTTCCAGCTTACCTGCCCTTAAATTCAGCGTAGTAGATTGCCCGAAGTTCCTCTTTAGAGATACTATTGGATATTCTGTCTCCCAGAAATGCAATAAAGTCCTGCCCGGATTTAAGCGACTGTTTACGAGACATGATGGTGAGCTACAGGCCGCTGCTGTCTGAGAGCTGAATCACAATGAGGAAGTTCAACTATCAACCCAAGTATCACTGTAGCTGTTGGTTGAAATGCCCACAACATTTCCACATGTTACACTTTGCGGCACTTTTGCGCATGTCTGAAGGAAACATTAGTTAAACCGGGCCTCGATTTCTGGTTCATTTTTTGGGTTAAATGGCGATAAAATGATACATTTATCAAATACTTAGCGCAGTTTACCGCAAAATTCAAGCTGGTGAACGGTCTCCGGAACGGAAACCGGAAGAGCGCGTCTGCAATTGTCTTACAGAGAAAACACGAAGACACCAGAGCGACTAAAAAAAGAAAAAAGTCTACACGAAAAGCTTCAGTGTAAACTCGACCTCCTATATATGCCTCATAAGTTCTAGATGATTTAAAAAAATTCCGTTACGACCTTGTTTGAGGAGTACACATCCTCATGTTTTTGATGACACTCCCTAGGCTCACAGCCGCGTCGGAGTCATGTGAAATGGGCGTTCCCATCGATTACATAATATAATGTTTTCACAATACTAAAATACACTTTGGCTGTAGTCATTATACATTTAATGGATTAAGCTGTTGAGTGAGTGATGAAATACCGTTTTGAAATATCAAGCCAAAGGATATGCAATGTGTCATTTCGCATTTGATTAGTATAGCCCTTTAGTATGGCAATTCAAAACCCAAAGATGTATTATGTGCAAATAGTCATGACCATAGACTGTATGACATAATACCAAAGAGCAGTACATCTACATATTTGAAAACGTGGCATTCTGCACTACAATTATTTTTCAACACACACATACACCTATTTAGAGCAAAGGCTAACTTTTTATTTAGAAAAATGATTTGACACCACATGAGTTTGCTAAACCAAGGGAAATCAGCAAGCACCAAATATTTGGTATGTATTGTTTCAATAATGGCTTGCATGAGTTTTATTCTGTTCATTAAAAAACGTGTAATGTATAGCAAAGACAAATGAAATGTACCGAAAGGAGTATTCAGTGGCATACTTTGAATGCTTAATTATAAGCAAATCTCAGAGAAATTTGGTTTACAACAAACAGGTGAATTTCCAACACTAGGCAAACATTATACATCTGCAAAATATATGAATGCATTAGGGACTTGAAGGTCATTGGACCGAATTCACATCACAATGCATAAGTGGGTCTTTTTTGACCCGGTGAGATGGTTTTCTTAGAGTATCTTTGTAATTACATTTGTTTATCATTTCATATTCCAGCTATTCCTCAAAAAACATGTTTTGGATATCATGCCATTCAAATTTTTAATCCACATTTTAAGAAATTGTAGTTTTTGTATTTCTACCCCAAGCTTCCATAAGTGGGTCAAAATTGGCCGGCATGCAATTTCTATAAAATTTCGTTTTTCTTTCAAAATGGAAATAAAATGTCTAAAATTATAAATAGTGAAAAATTAAATATAAAATATTTCTATTGTGAACCAAAATATAATACTAAATATTATATAGGTGGTTTTCTTAACCAAAATGAAACAAATTGCATAAAAACACATATTATTCTAATACGGGTCCTTTTTGACCCACTTATGGAAGAGTGTGGGTCCAGTCACTCGTGCATCTAAGGGTTAAGAAAACAGGCTGCATTATTTTATATAATGCAAAGTGTATTCCACTACATTATGGTCTGTTGTCAGGCTGTTTGATTGGGGATACTAGATTTAATTAAATGTATTCAGTTGTTTGCCTAGAGCAATCAAATGTAGTCAAAAAAGATTCCCAGAATAAAGCATATAGTGCCCAGGCGCTGTAAAAGAAACTCAACACAAGATGTAACACACAAATGATCAACATTGCTTGAAGATCATACTTTTATTTCGTGAATAATAAATGTACAATGATTGTATAAAAAATATAGCAAAAGCTAAAGGCAAACCGCTGGCTTGAGGACACCAATACTTTTATCATTCCAGGGGAGTATAGAGGGATTACAACCAAAAATGGCTTTCAAAATCTATGACGAGAGAAAGAACTTCAAGAGGGAATATAGTAGGGAAATGTGAAAGAAAGTTGATGCTTTGGCTACAACCCTGCGTCCAGAGAGATGCATACATATAAACACATTAGACTAAACCAAATCATTTGGTAATGTTAAGTGTCTCTGCTAATAAATCAAATTGCATACAGTATTTGCCTTCTGTTCATAAAAAACTATAGGGGGTATTGGAAGCTCTTAAAGAATATCAGTTTTGTTATATAGAGGGGGTTAATTAGTTGCTACATGATAGTCGAGGGGTTGTGGGAGGATGCGAGTCCATTATGAAGCACTGAGGGATCAGAAACTATGTTTGTTTACCATGAGACTAAGAATTTGAACAGCAAGGAATGACCCAAGCTTTCACAGTGTCACTGAAGGCTTTATTTGTTGAAAAATAATATGTTTGCAAATGAGCGACAGTTACATGTTGTTGTAAATGAAGACATCCCCTCGTAGTGCATAACGGAAGCTGTCATTCTCTGTAAAGACCCCAAACAAACGTCTCTTTTAGCAGGACATACAGTACGTTACGGTGCGTCACACATCTTTGCACGAGCATCGGCTTCTTCTCATTCGCTTGTCGCCACCCAAACAGCGTCTGTTCTCTAAGCATTCTGCATCTCCTTGCCAATCTTGTAGCTGAGGATCTTGTTCCAGTCAATCTTGGTGCGGGTGACTGGGAGCTGTCTGCGTAAGGCTTTGAAGGTGGTGTCCGACATGGTCTGATAGTTCTCACTGATGGCCACCTGAAACATAACACAGATAAGTACAAGTTGTACCAGGATGGCATCTACCAGTGACAGTCAATTGAACATGTTCTAAACAAAACAGAACCTATGAGTCATATCAATTGTTTAAAATGTTTGTTTGTGTTGCATTTAATGTGAGGATTTGAGTGTGTATATTTGCTATGAAACAGCTTTATACTCTGTATGTGTTAGTTACATCTACTGCTAGTACTATTCATTCTAATTCCTCCATGTCTAAAGGGGACATGTTTTGTCAGAGATCTAACGTTTTATTTTAGGCATGTTGGTCTGAAAATCTGATTTTGATAATGATTCAAATTGCATATTTGACTTTTGTGGTAGTGCTTGGAAATGTAGAGGCAGCATTCTGAATCAAATGAGTCTTTTATGTCTTGTTCAGTATACAGGGCAATGTTGACACATATGAGGGCAACTCATCTTATTCTCAAATGAGGAGTGTATAGGACTTATTGGAATCACATCCAATAAGCTCATCTTTACTTTGCCTGTTCTGGGATACAACAATACATGCTGGTGCAACATCATGGACTCTGTGGAAGCCCTCCCAGACGAGTTTTGCTTTGGAGCCAATTTTCACAACGACCAAAACAACTTGAAAATACCACTTTGGTAACATGATACCAGGGCCCAAAAATAGCGTTTCCCATAGACTTACATTAGGGAAGACAATGATGTGATTTTTTCAGGTACACTCTCCATTAGGAACACTGGAATAGCCCTCATTTAAATCAATGGTTCCTTAAAGTTGTTAAATGCACAAATAGCCTTTGCTTCATGGGCGACTGAGCAGCTTTAAGGGAAATGAACCGGGAACCTGCTTCCTATGAGGACATAGGATCTGCTCTCTGTGTGAATATGAAAGGCTCATTCAAAGATAACACTTGCACAAGGAATATTTGTTTCACAGGATTATATACTCTTGAAAAGGTTATTAGTACTATTCCATTTGTGCTTAGAAATCCCCTAAATTCTACGCACCGTCTCTTTAACCTCCACATACCTGGTAATCATTCTCTGCATCTTCAATAATTTTCACAAGCTCCTTTGCAGTCTGGCTCTCATTCTGCCAAAAAAAGACATGTGTTGGTTAAATAAACAACTTAAAACACACTTCAACATAAAGCACTATGATATATTCCAATAGGTCTATTTCATTATGTCCTACTTACAGACACGGTCAGTGCTTCCTGTACATCTTTATGGCTGACCAGCTGTACATTTCCATCCTCATAATAATGTACCTGGAAAGAAAGACAGAAGACATGCACGCTAAAGTGAAACAGAACCAACTTCACAGCTAAACTCATACTACACCTAAACATTTCTCCACCTACCTGTACTTTCAAGACTCCAACCACCTGAGCTGTAGATTGCGAGACACTGAACCTCCATTCAGACCGGCAGCGGCCGTTCCTGGAGACAGAGAAAAGAAAACAGTTCACCAAAAAAGCAATGCCAAACACATCTAAAACTTCACTGCCTTTACACTTCAACATAATTGATTAAGTGAATACATTGAATTTCAAATCATTATCCTCCATCAACTTACCAGAAGTTTTTAGGCTCAAATTGATGGCCCTCGATACAAGCGATAATGGTCTGCTGGCCATCGATTGTTTTCCCATAAACCTGAGGCAGATAACACAGGATGAGTGATTCATTGTGAGCAACGATACACATGGCTGCAGTGCAGTCTGGGAAAGCTTACGGTGCAAACTCCACTGGGGTAGTGCTCCTTGACGTAGGCCCTGAGAGCAGAATCGCAGGCGTCTCTCCAGGACCTGAGGCCCGACTCGCCCTCATGCGGCTGGGGGTCGCTGGCTTCCTTTCTCAGGTGGTCAAACTTGAAGGAAATCTTGTTGTGAGGGTCAAAGAAGCGGCCATTACCCAGGTCTCCATGCTCCGTTATCAGGACCTTTATGGGTCAGAGAAACCTGCCATTACTCCACCTGTTAACGCAGGAATTGGCTTAATAACGTAAAATAATGATGACATTTCACTAATAAGCTTGCCTGATCTTCATATCCTTCAATTTTAGCAAGGGTGAACTGATCCATGTTGTACTGGGCAAAGGCGCTGATTCAAGAAAAAGAAAGAATACAACCATAAGTTCAATGCACATCCAGAATATCATTTTCTTACAACAATAAAAAAAAGAATATGAAACTTACTGAGCTGCGCCCTCTCTGAGAAGGTTATCATTGTTGAGCAGTATTCGCACATCTGTAAAGAAAGAATTAAGATGTTAAACACGTTCACAAATTGCTCCATTGTTTTCCAGTATTACATTCAGGTTGCCCTACAGATGTCAATCAGAAACACGCTCACCATTGAAAACTTCGTTGAACTCTCCAGGAGGAGCGTGCATCACAAAGTTAGCCGAAATACGGACCTAGAAATACATAACTTGTCATTATATTTGAAAATAGTAGGAGGCATCGCAATATCACAAACAAAGTGTATAAAATATGGAGGCAGTTCCCTTCATGCCTAAACAAACTGTGGTAGAGCAGAATAACAACTTTCTTTAATCATAAGCCACATTTGCAGATTTTTTTTATTTTTATCTAGCCAATGTATTGTGTTCATGCAAAATGAAGACATGCAGGCAGCCACTAGAGAGAAGCAGAGAGCTGATAACTTTCTTGGCAGCTGGCTTGTTCACTTTATTTTGGCCACTCCTTAGATGGCGAGCAGTGAATGACGCCCAAGGGCTTTTCTTAGCATCCAGAATGCAAGTGTAAGCATGTGGTGTCAAAGCTGCAGGGTGTAGAAGTTGTTGCAGGTAGTGCTCCATAAGGTAATACTCAAAAAGGGACTGAGTTTAACAATCAAGGCAGCATATACAAATGTGGAAGCAAGGTTTACTCTCAAGAGAGAAGTTGTAATTCATTAATCATTTGTGGCAGCTTTTTTCAGTTTTTAATGTCCTTGCCACATTATAGATGGGCTTTGCTAGTGATGGCGTCTGTCAGTCAGTCAGACAGACAGACAGACAGGGTTATTGAGCCCCCAGGCAGCAGCTGGCCGTGACCTACAAATGGCCTGTCCAGCTGAAAGGGCAGAGGGGCATAACAATGAGTAACCTAGTTTCAGCACACTCCTGAATAGTGGCTCCATTCAGTGGCTAGAAAGGCCTTCAAGGCACAGACAAGCAGTAAAACAATCTGAGCTTATGTCTGATTAAGATGCTATCAGAAGTATTAGATTTCCCGACATGTTCTTCATTTATCCCAAATATGGACATTATTTTATTACAGCAGCAGTGGGTTAGCAAGGCAGGACATCACAATGAGAAATATACAGACCAAGTTCAAATACACTACAATAAATCAGCCTAATAATACAACATAAACATGGGATACTATATTCAAAACACAATTGTGCAAAGTAGTTTTATACATTTAAATAAAAAGGATATGTCCATTAAAGTTCAGAAAGGGGAATTCCCAACACTTATTGCACTGACTTCTTTACATTTATTTAAAAGGGGTCACTGAAGCAGTCTTGGGAGGGGTAAGCCCTTAGCAGCTCCATCAGCTGGAGGAATGCAGAGCAGTACTTTTCAACATGTAGCAGCTTGAGGCAGCCAGTCGCTGCAAGCCCCAATAACACTGCAGGAAAACTGCGTCTGTCCCATGAACTGAGTGCAAATGTCCCAAGCTAAATACATGATACTTGCAAACTCAACCAACTCGATACACTAACTATAACTTCTGATGTCGGCGAGACCAGTATAAGCAGCTGCATGAAGTTATAGTGAACTGGGTGTGGGTGGTGTTAGTCTGCCGATGCACTTATTATCCTTACTGTAAATGCAGGAAGTAGCTCGACTTCCTTACATCTTAGCATTAGCTTTTTCTTTTTTAAATATTCTAAACTCAAGCTCAGCCCGTACTCATATGTTATTTGTTAAGTAAAGACAGCCATATAAGTTAGCTAACTTGTGTGTTTGTGCACAGGAACAACATACAACTCTGAACTGTCAAACACTGCCTCGGTTTAGCTAGCTCCACCAGCACACGCCTAATACGGCCCGTTTGCAATTCATGATACAACGTGAGCGTTTCATAAAGCTTTGGTATTATCCCAGACAAACACTAAGGGTAAAAGAATAATAACACAATTAATTTATAAAGTAATACCTTCTCTTCATCGCTGAGCTCATCGAAATCTGCCATCTTGGCTCAATGAAGTGTTAACAAAGCGCCCGTCGGTGTTGCCAGGTATGTGGGACTCCTCCCAGAACAGCCGCAGGCCGAGCAGGAACACTCTCCAGGTTGTCCCCACGAATATACAATAATACACTTTTAAGTGTTATTTTAAGGTTCATGTTCTTTATAATCATACGTCTGCACAACAATTACAGAGAAAAAGTAGTTGGCAATTCAAATATGTAACCTCAGGCTTCCTTTAACAATGCTCATTAAATATGTATTAATTAACAATAATGACAAAAGGAACACAAATAACGTAAGTACAAGCGAAAAGAGAATACAATAAGTAAAATATAACAAGTTAAAACATATGGAAGATTTATCAGTAAATCATTAATCAAAAAACTAAAAATGTCTGGAAGACAGCATTGCAGGTGAATACAATTAATGTAAAAACAGGATTGTAATATATACATTATCCATCATCAGAAGTAGATTAATGAAAAATATTTGTTGGAGAGAGATGTAAACTGTTTTTATAGGCTAACAGTAAATCAAGTAGGCCTATGTATGGGTAAAGCGATGGAAATAGAACCGACTTTTAAATAAATAAATGATTTTATAATAATAATAATTAAAACGGATTTATAACGGATGTGTTACATAATAACAACAACATTTACCCAAAAGAAACGCATGATTAGTTTTTTTTAAATGTACAACACTTTTACATACAAACCGAAGCTGACAATATCCAAAACCTGGCAACCCTGACGCGTTCAAGTCATGTTGGCTTAATGGGGGGGGGGGGGGGGGGGGGGGGGGGGGGGGGGGTACGTTTGAGACTGGTTGCAAGTGTTAAAGACAACTGTTTATCAACGTTAGTATTGATCATGTACGGATTAAAAATACTGAATACTATTGATAATATTAATGTAATTCCGTTAAACTATATCCATTTCATTATAGGTGTAATTTCCTCTAAAGACAAAATCCCGGGTGAAGTACCTACCTCACTTCAGCCTGGATTGCTTGCATGATCGACCCATTATGTGAATATCGGTTAATATCAATAGGCCCACGTAAGAGCTTTAGAAATATGAGATAACCGTAGTAGTAAAAATAAAACTACGACTTATATTTTTGACATAAACGCCAGAGACGATGGTTGTCTTAATTACAATAACTCTGAAATTACCTGAATGCGTCATCAGGATTCTCAGCCAGCTATGCTCTTTACTCAAACTAATGCTGGGTTTTGTATTTCAACAACAAATATACTTTGCATTTACACACACCTGAGACGACAGAGGAAGAAATACAAGAAATATTGTAAAAAAAAGAAAATTGGTGTGAATAAATAATGAACACGTATCACACACTATAGGACTTTGGATGCAAACCCAATGCCCTTTTATTGTATACAAGAAAACCCACTCATGATATAAATTATATAGAAGTGTTGGGAGCCTAATTGTCCATTGTGCTCATTCATCTTTAAATCAGGTCACTCACAGTATCACTGAGTAACACGGTGAAGCAGCTCCTACTATCTTTTATCCTGGTGCCTTTCCATTGGACATATACATGTGTCTTATTACCATTATATAAGATGTACTTTATAGATCCCAAATTGGGAAATGTTTCTATATATAATAATATATGTCATAATATAATCACATTCAGAAAACTTTATCTATCCCATAGGCTTTACTCAGTAAAGACCAGTGTTGTGCTAGTTACTGAAAACCAGTAACTAGTTACCATTACTAGTTACTTCATTTCAAAAGTAACTCAGTTACTTTACTAGTTACTTAAAAAAATTGCTCCCATTAATGCCCTTATAGCCTTCATTTCAGTACTGTTATTGCATTGGAGAATAATACAATCTGTTGATCAACTTGACATGCATTATATGCAATCTGGATTGCATCGATATTAGCTGGCTTTCCATTTTTGTATATTCTTTCTCCAGGTAGTTGGAAAACGTTTTCCGTCCCATATGCCGCCCGGACATGCTATCATGCTAACTAGCTCCCTGAAAGCGGGTGACTCCACTGTAGCAATAGCCTGCATGTGTTCTACAACATACCGTGCAATGGCTTTATCGACTTTTCCCTGGCCAGCAGTCCCTCGGTTAAAATCCAGCCGCTGTTGCTTAGGTGGAGGTGGAGTGGCGTCGGCTGAGTCTCTGTGGTCTTAGCTACTAGCTTCGTCCCAGCATGTTGTTTTTGCAGATGTTTTAAGAGATTTGAATTACTGGTTTGGGCAGTAGATAGGCTCTTTGACCCGCCAAGACACAACTTACATTTAACTAAAACGTTCTTTTCTTTGTGCTCGACAAAAGTGAAATAGTGAAAATATCTCCAGGTGGAGAAACTAGACTTGAGCTCCGCCGCCGCCATGATAGTCTTGTTAGTAAACAACACAAACACGCCCACAGCCCGTCTCCGCATGTGACACAGGAAGTATCTAAGTACATTTACTCAAGTACTGTACTTAAGTACAGTTCTCATCTCTGTTCGCCTGGCTGTTGACTATATTTAAAAAACTAACGCAGTAACGGAGTAACACCATGTAGTAACTGTAACTGCGTTACTGGTTTTAATAAGTAATGCGTTAGAGTACTAGTTACTGTGGTACAGTAACGCGTTACTTGTAACGTGTTAGTCCCAACACTGGTAAAGACACACAAAGAGCCAGTCATTAGGGTTGAGGTTGTCCCATTTTTAACATTCTCTTGTTTGTTTTTTCTTTTATTTAGATTGTATAAAACCGTTAGATTATTTCCCCAAATTGCATTGAAATCTGGCATAATTTGTAACAATTAACATTTACTTTAATCTGTAGGTTTACAACTAAGACGTATCTAACTAGCAAATTCATTGTGGATGAAGGCCCATAAAAGAACATACTGAAATGTGAATTATTTTGGCAAGGACTTTAAAACAGCCAGAGGTGTGAAGTTACTTAGTACATTGACTCGAGTACTGTACATAAGCACAGTTTTGAGATACTTGTACTTTACTTGATTATTTCCATTGTATGCTACTTTGTACTTCTACTCCCCTACAATTCAGAGGTAAATCTTGTACTTTTACTCCACTAAATATATGTTGTACCTTTAGTTACTTTACAGATTTGGATTAATGATGTGAAATATAATCAACACTTCAATAAGACTTTAGTTACACTGGAGTACATTCACAAGCTACCCTGCAGCATACACAGTTATTACCTTTACCAGCTTTGATAACACTTTAATGATCAATAATTATAATCAAAACTTATAATATATATTATTCTGAAGTGGGCCAATCTGCATACTGAGTACTTTTGCTTTTGGTACTTTAGTTATATTTGAATGCCAATACTTTTTTTAACTTTTACTTAAATAACATTTTGATTGCAGGACTTTTACTTGTTACAGAGTATTCCTACACTCCGGTACTTCTACTTTGACTTAAGTACAAGATCTTCTCCCACCTCTGACAGCAATATATAAAAACCCAGTAGAAAATAAAATGTCACGATAAACGCTGGAAGTCTGTAGATCAAAAAGACCCCTCGACTGTAAAAAACACCAAATGCAGAATGGGAAAACATTTTTCCCATTAACATCAACCTAAAAAAGTATGAAGAATTAGTGATGCCAAAGCATCTGCTCGTCACATGTGGAGTTAAAGGGATCAGAATCAACATTTCTGTTGTTAACACGTCTGAGAAAGAGACACCAAAGAAGAAGAATAAAACATTTAAGCAGGCCTCTGTGCAGTATACAGGCAACCAGTATATCAACACATTATGTGCAAATCAACTTAGACTCAAATGCTTCCTGTTATCTTTGGTGTTGTAGCTATAGTTACTAGAGATATATTCTTGCAAAATAGCAAGAATAGCCATAGTTGCAAAATATGTCTGCCTGCAAGCATAATTGTCCATAATAGTAATTAGGTTTAACATGTGATTTTGCATTGGTTTGAGAGGATAATACAGAAACACAAAAATCAGAATCTGGTTCATGCCAAGTGGTCTTCAAATAAGAGAAATGTCCTGTGTTATATTTGTGCATAGTTAAGATACATAAATATAATACAGAAAACACTAAAGTAAAAATATTTTTAAAATACAATTTTAACATTAGAATGAAACAGTTGATAGAGGAAAGCCAAGCCATTCCTTTGGCTAAACGGATGCAAGTCAAAACATGCATTAGTCACAACGCTTCTTCCAATACGTTTTTTGTGTGTCTTAAAATACATTTTCACAAATGTTTGTAATAGTTTCTGCTGACATTTGCATAAATACAGATAAAAGGTATAACACATGTAGCAGAAATCCCTGTATATAATGTGAAGGGATATTATAACTATAAGAAAATACCAAAATTAGTCAAATTGCTATTTTCATGCCCATGGCCCAGGCGTCACGGCACAAAATGGTTTTCTAGCAGAATAAGAACAAAAACAGGTGATGCTGTTTTGAATTGGAACAAACACACCCAGCATTTGAAGCAATAGGGACATACATGTGTATGTATTAATCATCATCATTGTTTTAGGTCATTACCTAATGATCTATACATGTTTAGATTTATACTGTGAATCGGAATTACTGTATGACAAGCTATATTCAACAGTTCAACAAAAGCACATTTTACCCAAGTAACCAGCATGGGGCGATGTCTTTGTCAACAGTATTTGTGGCCGCAGAAGAAGAAGATCAAACTACCGTAAAGTAGCAGCAGAAGAAGAAGAAGAAGCGGCTTTGTGACACAAGCTAGCGATATCGCCTCGACCAGTATCTGTCCGGCCCTGAGAGGCAGTAAACATAGATACAATCCCCGTTGAAGGTGAGTGAATAGTCGCTGTTTTGTTAGTAATACAACGACATACAAATGGAAATCCTGACTCCGTGCAGTTGGCTGTGTAACTGCAAGGCTAGCCGCTAACCTGTATGCTAACGACAGCTAACACTAAATAGCTCGCTAACCGCTAACTTAGCTACGTGTAGCTACATCGTCACAACATATGTTAACCATTAACAAACAAAAGTATGGAAATGCATACGTGCATGTGAATCTGATATTAAAAAACACAACAACAGAGAACACAGCTCGCTAAATATTATTATTTGTTCACACAACCCGATGCCGTAGCGCGTGGCACGCCATTTGCTGCGCGAGCGATGTTGTACAGGTAGTCATGCCTATCGTTGGAAACAGTAAAACTAGTACTTGCAGTAAGGAGGTCAAAAGGGACGGTTAAACGATTTTAATAACTAGATATCCAGAAATTAAAGAAAGTTACAGTTTGCATTACTCTGCAGAAGAGTCATTCATTTCCTGCAGAAAGTTCCAACCCCGCCTCTCTCATACCAACTGTTTAAATAATATCACAAGTGGTCAGTATGTAACTTACTGATAACGGCATTGGATAATGAGAAAGTATATAAGTTCTGTGTTGATACACTTGCATATTATTTAATTACCTGAGGTCTTTCAAAGAGAGCAAATGAATAGATTGATATACAATTTAGGTAATACATTTGGAATTCATGTTTTAACAATAAACGTTGAATGCAAAGAACAATTGCATTGTTTAGAGTTATATTATGAATACAAACTAACGACAAAACAAGTTATAGATTTTTTCTTTTCTTTTTTTCCTTCCTCAGACGGTTCCTGTTTTTGAATTGTGTCGACACAGAATCCAGGGCATCGTTGAAGTTAATGTATGTAAAGGGCTGCTTCCTAAAAAGCATTATTTAAAATTCCTCCAACCATACATTAAAGGTGGGGTAGGTAATTTTGGAGAAACCAGCTCGAGTGCGCTAGAATTTGAAAATACACAGCCGGAAAAAATCTGCCACTTCCTTACAGAGCCCCTCCTCCAACACACACGAACGCGCACATGACCAATGCAGGAGATTAGTTTGTGCACAGATGGAAGGCTGACAGGCAGGTAGGCCATCCAGTTACTTTAGCCAGGCCGGGCTTCCACAGATGACATTTATTTATGGATTTTTTTTTTGTCAAAGCACTTAATATATTCATTGCTATCGGGATGTTATGTCGAGCCGGTTTCTCAAACTTACCTACCCCACCTTTAAATTAACACTAAATGCTTTCACTTTCATGTATCATTTTGAAATCTATGTGTTTTGCTGAAATCCTGTTGCATTGGGCCATGTTGGCTGTGTAAAGACATCATCTTACCTTGAACACTTTTTTAATCATTGGTTTCTTCAACCTACAGAAGAAAAAAAAATGTTTTGACATTGACAAGTTGATAATAAACCAAGATTGTTATTTTATTTCCTCAATGCAATTTTCCTCTATATTTTCAACATTTGGAGCAAAGAGAATGATTTAAACAAATGGTGCGTTTCTATTTGTGGGGAGTCTGTACTGCGAATTAGTTAAACCATACAGACATTAACTGAAACCAGCTCCACTGCTAAACAATTTAAAGGACAGACAACGTTGAGATACGCAATGGGACCCTAAACTTAAATCGTGAAACATTTAAAAATGTCACAATATAACATCGCCTTGACTCTCCATGGGTATCTGTGCCATTTTCTTGCACTTTCTCTTTTTAACTGCAATTAAACGTTGCTTTAGGGTTTGCGGCTTGGTGTTGCCTTCTGTGAAATGTGTTTTGAACATTGAGTTCAAACCGTTTTTGGCTTATTTTAGCATTAAATGGAATCAGATGCTATCTGGTTTAGCTTGCGGACGCATTCTACGATTTAAAAAAAAAAAAAAAAAAAAAGTTTCTTTACTTCAACAAAAGATGTTGCCAATATATACGATGAAAAAGTATCCACTGGATTGCCACAATATACCGCCTACCCCTGGGACAAATGTCGTATCATGAAAATAATTTCTGGCTTGGTTGGCTTTGTTTCTCAACACATTGCCTTGCATCTTAAGCTGTATAAAGCCAGACAACATCTTTCCCATCCCTCCATGAGGTATCATTTGGAAGGATGTCCATTGCATCTCCGAATTTGCATCATAGATTTACATTTGCGCTTAATATAAACGCATTAATCGTACTCTTGATATTCCACAACTGTCCTTTTGCGCCATTCAAGTCAATCGCTCTAATGCATTACGGTTCAGTGCAGCGTTAAATCTTTATAATGGCCTTCTGTCAAAAATGATTTGCGTTTTTTAACCAGCTTGTTTCAATTTCGGTATTTTCAACAGTTGAACATTTATTTGCCACTGCATTTACGTTGTCTGAACTTTGTGATTTTGGTCTGCCACTTTTTGCTCTGCTAAAACTTTTCATCCCTCCAAGGAATTTGATCTCTTCTCTTAATTCACTGACGTGTTTCAGGATTGTGGACGACAATTTAAAGAAGCTTATTATCGAACCATCAAACCCTTTCAAGCATTTGGCACGCACGAAGAAACCAGCAAACCCTTTTGGATTGAGCCATGTCTCGCAGAAGAAGCCGCAGCGCATCCCCAGGAAGTTTTTCGCGCTCCTGCAGCAGTAATGACCCTAGAGATTTGGAGAGACGGATTTTTGTTGGGAATTTGCCGACCTCCGACATGGAAAAGAAGGATTTGGAAGAACTGTTCAGCACATATGGGAAAGTAATCGGTTAGTAAAACACAATACAATCAATAGGTTTAATTCATGATAATAATTTTAATCAAATCTAGTAACATTACGCATCATGAGTCGTGTTTTTCATGATAGGCAAACCTGTGAAATTCATAATGATATCCCTACTGCTACTATTTTTTCAATTAGATGAATGGATAGTTATGTTTTTCAAAATGATCTTAAGACTGTACAACTTAAAATGTTCCTCTTCCAGGCGTGTCCATGTTTCGCGGGTTCGGATTTGTACAATTTGAACGGGTTGAGGAAGCCGAAGCTGCAAAGGTGGCTCAAAAGGGTCGACTGTATAAAGGTTATAAAATAGGTAAGCCTTTACTGCAGTGGGTGTGATTTTCTGCCAAAGAGAATAGGTGTAAGGCAAACAAACCAATTTATTGGAAGGTTGTTTTTTTCTTCTGTTCTGACTGTGTAAATCTTGATTGGGCATTATATTGTCAGTGTACTTCCCTTGCCAGCAAAGAAGTAGCACATTTTCAGTTTTACCAATAAACACTTACAAATAGTTAATTTATATGTATTTTAATAAGCTGCATGCCTGGTGATCAAACTAGTGCCTGATAACCCACATCTGACAGAGTTTAGGTCGTATCATTTGACTTACAACTCAACAAAATGAAGATTCAGCCTAGCCGATTTTTCTACCTCTTTTTTATTTATAGACATGTTTATATTATTTAATTACAAAGCAAATAAACAAGTGCATTATTAAATTCTGGCAAAGCCTTGATCTTTGAAAAATCTCTTGTGAATTTTCTTCAACATGTAACGGCCCGTCCACACTACAGCTTAAAAAAAAGCTTGGAGCTGGGCTTGTCTGAAGCTCGACCAACAACCAATCACATGAATCTCCCGCCCCTCACACACAAGCAGCGGTTTGATTGGCTAGAGCTTGTACTGGCATATGATTTGATTGGCTGACGCTTCCACCGGAAGCTTCAAAAGTTGAACATTGCTCAACTTTTGCAGCCTGAAACGCCAGGAAAGCTCCGCTCTGCTTCCCACAATGCAGTTCGGCGAAAAGTGACGTCACCCCATTCAAAGTGAATGGGCAGACGCGTTGGAAACCGTTTTTGAAGCTGTAGTGTGGACGGGCCGTTAAGGTCTCGCTTATGTTGATCATGTGTTTTCTGAAGGTAACATTTCAAGTAGAAAATCAAATGTACTAAGGCTGTACCAAGTCTTTGTTAAAGTCAATGTTTTCGAGGTTGTCCAACCCATTCTCGTTAACACAATACTTGGAAGAAATGTATTCAAATTTAGCACAAACGTCCACTTGGACTGAAGGATTAACTGGTTTTGATTATTGGTGGACAAAAGTCACCTTGAGCCCTATAAACACATTTTTGGCCAAAACTGAAGAATTCATATGCCAATTGTGGACAATAGGACTAGTCCAATTTCAAAATTGACATACATGCGTCTTAATTAACTCTTAGGCTGTACAACGCTTTGGAGTAATTGGAAATGTGTTGATTAAACGAGTCAGAAACAATCAGACTGGAATACAATTCTACAAATATTTGATTATTCATAATAAAGAAATAAACTGTGAAAGAATTCCAGCTTTAAACAGAAAGTAGCCATGCAAAAAGAGAAAAAGCTGCGCATTATTTGAATCTTTTAGAATTTGAAATTCAACGTAATTAAACATCAAACTATTCTGTCCAGCCCTGTAATTTTCGCATTTAAGATTGGCTATTGTTAATCGTTCTTTTGAACAGTACTTGAAGTAGTTTAATGATCACTTAATTTCTTGTTCATCCTACAATTCAATTTGGCAACTTGATTTGCTGCATTTTGTCGCGTTCAGTTTGGACTTTACAACTTGGATGTTGGAGCTCATTTTTATTTGGATCGTGGAAGTAGTGACGCGGCCACTCCGTCCTGCGTGAAAACAGAAGCTTATAAACATGTCACTGTTATGTTCAACGTTTGGATTGATTTATTTTCAGATGTAAATATGGCAGTGGAGCGACGGCAACCTAAACCTCAATCCCAGCAGAGCCCTCCACGAAGGTAAAGTAACGCGAAATGGGTGTGAAGATCTACCATCACCTTTAAAAAAACAAAACAACAAAGGCGTTAAACGTGTTCCTCAACTGTCGTTTACCTCCAATTTTATCATCTGAATGTAATTTCAAAAAAGTGTCTGTCTCAAAGATTCAACGCTTTTCAACATTTGTGTTCTTTGAGGGGGTTAGTTGTGCATTTCATCTTAGACCTAAAATATACAACTTTCAAGCAAAATAAAACATGATAGTTTCACCCTGCCCCGGATCCTTGACACAGGTCCATGTTTGCCTGTGACACATCAGAATAGATTCCGCAATTAAAATGTATCTAAGGGAGATTATATTGTAGGAATGTGCATTTACACCCATAAGATCACAGTCCAGGGCAAGTGATGTGTTGTAATGGTTATTTATTAGGATGCGGATGCATTGTGAATACGTTTTACTTTTGACATGCCATATAGCTATATCTCAAGCTAAATGAGTAAACGTTCATATTGTGACGCAACCAAATGTTGGAAGAAGGGGAACAAAATTGAGGACTTTGCTTAATTTAGAGCAAATAATTGTGGAAAAGAGTATAGTAAATACTGGTCCAACCCTAAATAGAACAGAAGACTAGGCATCATGTACCTTTTTCTTAACATGAAAAGTTCAAACTGCACTTACCATGCCCACTTGGATACACCTAGGTCCTTTCATGCTTGTAGAAACTGTAACAAAGCCTCAGCTGTCATTTTCTACTGTTTGCTTCCAAAAAGGGTTTAGACCGGATTGTTCCATGCAATCAAGAATAAACTCCTAGAAATGTGTGGAAACATTTCAAAGTTGAGATTAATTACTTGTACTTTCTAAAGACATTTCAAGCACATGCTTTTTCATTCACATTTCTTACCCAGTATTTGCAGCATGAGAATGTGTTTAAGTGGAGAGCAAAACACAAACCATCTCAAGCAAATTGTGCTAAAGCACAAAATAAATTGCCTTGTTCAAAAAGGTTTAACAGCCATGGTTCGTTTCCACTTTCAAAGCTGGACCTATGGTCAATAAAACTCAAGCGGTCGTCGTCTCGGTTTTGTTGCGTGCAAGGATCGATGGACATTTTCAAAAATCATTGTTGAAAAGACATTTATCGGACCCACCTCCTGGATTGAATTTATGTTCGTTCCGTTTGCGACCACATAGCTGCTTTCTCTTTCTGCTTCAGTTGTGTACACATGAAACAATACCAACTATAGGCTTTTCTGCACCAGTCGTGGGCAGAAGTAACCCATTGCAGTATTTTATAGGCAACCGAAACTCGAACCGGCCTTTTACTAATTGCAAACTTTTCTCTCAGGGCCCCGTACAGCAGCTATGGAGACGGCAAAGAGCCCCGGCCTCGGTCACGCTCACCTGTTTATGCGCGTGAGCCTCGGGAAAGTCGTGACGGACGAGAGTCTCGGGACAGCCGAGAAGGACGAGAGCCTCGGGACAGCCGAGAAGTGAGGGAACCGGGAAGGGAACCGGGAAGGGAACCGGGGAGGGAACCGGGGAGGGAACCGGGAAGGGAACCGGGAAGGGAACCGGGAAGGGAACCGGGGAGGGAACCGGGGAGGGAACCGGGAAGGGAACCGGGGAGGGAACCGGGGAGAGAACCGGGGAGAGAACCGGGGAGAGAACCAGGGAGAGAACCAGGGAGAGAACCAGGGAGAGAACCAGGGAGGGGCCAGTCTCGTGACCATGATTACCGGTACCGTACCTCAGAGAGCAGAGACAAGGACCCTCGTGATCCTGCGTACAGGTGACTACTGACACTGAGCCCATTAGTTTGAAATCCACCTTTTGCATCTTTGTCTGACCTTGAAATGTCTCCATGCAGCAGGGAAGAATATGACCGACTCTACCGCAGTGGCAGCGGTGCAGAAGAGTTTTACCGGAGGAAGGAAGAACCCTTCAGGGAGCCGTTCAGAGATCCCTGGAACGGGCGCCGTGAGTCAGAGGGTGTGTACGACGGTGTACTTTCCAAATATTATTGATTAATTACTGTTTGTGGTTATGGGTATAATTTTGAATGCAGTTTTCTTAGTAGCTCAGTTGTCGAGATGTGAGGATGCAGCTTCATTACCAAACAGACAAACCTACAACAATCAGATTTGAAATACTATTCAGCTTTCTGTCCATTTCATAGTGAATTTTTTTTTAACAACTGCAGTATTAAAACTAGGCTTTATTAGCATGTTTTTGAAGTCCTTCTATAATTGTTATTCAACCTTCTGAAAAATGTTCTGACTCTACAGCCGCAGCGGTAGATGATCGTGCGAGACCAGAAGAGCGTCGGCGTAATGAATTGTATCGACAGTACTACGAAGAACTCCAGCGACGCTACGACACAGACCGCCCGGTCGACTGCTCCGTGATTGTCGTCAACAAGGCGCAAAAGTATGTCCACTCTCAGCTCTTTACAAGAAATCGTGGATCAGAAACGTCTCTAGATTAGATAAGATTGGACTCAACTTTATTGTCCTTGCACAGAGTACAAGCACTAGGACAATTAAATAAACGGAATAAGCATCTAACCAGAAGTGCAAAAGAAAGTAGTAAAGTGCAGTGTTATTCGTAGCATAATATAAATATCTCTGTTCGACCAGTACATGGCATGTTTTTATTTCATATCGTTCCTGTGTGTCTGTGTTTCTTTGTGTGTTTTTGCTTGAAAATCTACTGTCGGGAGTATGCGGAGACGGTTGGGAGGAAAATCCGTGATGTGGGCATGGTGGTGGATCTGATCTTCCTCAACACGGAAGTGTCGCTAACACAAGCCCTGGAGGATGTCGGCCGAGCTCGCACTCCCTTTGCCATCATCATTACCCAGCAGCACCAGGTGCACCGCTCCTGCACTGTCAACATCCTGTTCGGCACACCGCAAGGTAACGCAAGCCCACAGTATCCACCTCTTTGGAACTGAACACTTCTCCCTCTTTACATTTGTTTTAAGTAACTTGTCATGTTCTTATGGTATTTCCTTTTTGCAAAAAGAAATTAAAATATATATATATATATATATATATATATATATATAGTTTTTTAAATAATGGTTCTACTCATTTTAAAACGTAATGTCTCTTACTCTTTATGTATGCATTATGATACACAACATTCCGCGTATGTGTAAACCTACTTGGCAATAAACCTGATTCTGCTGGTTGGTCACCAAAGCGTGCATCTTCTGTTTTTACATGCTAACATTCCTCTTTCTTTAAATTGTATTATTTCCATAGAGCATCGAAACATGCCAATGCAGGACGCCATGATGCTGGTTTCCCACAATTATGACACCTACAAAGTTGAAAACCGCGAAAAAGAACGCGAGGAGATTGCCAGAAAGGCTGCCAAGATGGCGGACGATGTGTTACTCAGGGAGCCTGACAGAGAGGGCCATCCCGTCTCTGTGCTCACCTCCATCACACTGCTGTCTGAGAACAGGTATGTTAATATTTTAAGACTTGAGAAGGTAACATTAATGATACCTTTTATTTTCAATGTCCATGTTTTGCATGCATTGTTTCTTAAAAAGCTCCCACACTTTGAATAACTGTATTTCTCTGTGTGGTAGATTTGTCACCCCAGAGGAATTGGACGGTCTCATTGCCTACCTGAACGACAAAAGAGGACGGCTGCTGCGAAGCACTGCAGACCCTCTTGCAGGTAAGACAAAATAATTTTCGCCGGACAAGAAACTTGGTGGCTGTAATCATTCATCCTGTCCTTGCTGGCTCAGAGGATGTGATTTCAGTGGAAAGTGTTTGATTTAAACCAAAAATTGTTTAATATTTGAAATTGAACAGTTTTGTTGGTTTGTCTCAAAGCAGATGCTGAACAAAGCAATACAATCATGATCAAAACATGTAATCAAAGCTAATATTATCAGCTGGTTAAATGAATACATTTATATGTATTGCTGTTGGTATAAAGTATTTGGTAAACTATTAATAAGTAGTGTTGGTAAATGCTTTGAAAGTCTAGGAATTTGAAGTACCTGGAAATTGCTTGAATTTTACCAAAAATAACTACAACCTTGTTATCAACGTTGACATACCTTTTTATCTTTATTAACTATAATTGGTCTAAGATTAGTTCTGACTCAGAGCTCCACCCAAGTCTGGACTCTGATACTCTTATCCAATTGCACACATCTATTCGCCCACTAATATTTGCATAAAGGTAGCCGGCCAATCAGGGCAAGCCTCCCTCAGGGTTCGTACGGTCATTGAAAACCTGGAAAAGTCATGGAAATTCAAAATGCAAATTCCAGGCCCTGTAAAAGTTGTGGAAAACAATATTTTTCCCAAAGTTTTGGAAAAGTCATGGAAATGTAACTAAAGTTGCGTCAAATATAATTTACATTTGATCTAATCGTCGAAATAATCTGCGGTCGCGAGCTGTTATGTGCCATCATGACGCGCATGGTGTTATTTTGTAATATATGAAGCGCGAGCTGCGTGCTCGAGTCTTCCGGCCTGTCGGGCCGGCTGAACTCTGCTGCTCCGGGATGAGGGTCAGCTACATTATCTACGGTGCGTTCGTTAACTGTGCGGAGTCACCGTGGCACAGACTGCACCGCTGTTAGAACGGGCCGTTCAGGTGTTCAGAGCAGAGCGGCAGAGCGTGATGTGCACTGAAAAGTTTTTCTGTCGCAATATTATTTAAGGAATCGTTGAGCTAGCTAGCTAGCATACATTGTCACTATCTGCTAACGTTAGCTTTACGTTAGTTTTTTTCATAGGCTATAAACAGAGGTGGTATAAGTATAGATATTGTACTTGAGTAAAGTAGAAGTACTCAGATCTTGTACTTTAGTAGAAGTACTCAGATCTTGTACTTAATAAAAGTAGAAGTACACAGATGTTGTACTTGAGTAGAAGTACACAGATGTTGTACTTTAGTAAAAGTAGAAGTACACAGATGTTGTACTTAATAAAAGTAGAAGTACTCAGATCTTGTACTTGAGTAAAAGTAGAAGTACTCAGATCTTGTACTTGAGTAAAAGTAGAAGTACTCAGATCTTGTACTTGAGTAAAAGTAGAAGTACTCAGATCTTGTACTTGAGTAAAAGTAGAAGTACCAGAGTGTAGGAATACTCTATCACAGTAAAAGTCCTGCATTCAAAATGTTCCTCAAGTGAAAGTAGAAAAGTATTCTCATCAAAATATAGTGAAAGTAGCGACAGTAAAAGTAGTCATTGTGCAGATTGGTTAATTTCAGAATAATATATATGATTTGTTTTATAACGATTGATCATGAAAGTGTTCTCAAAGCTGGTAAAGGTGCAGCTAGTTTGAATGACTTTGTATACTGCAGGGTAGCTGGTGGATTTACTCCAGGTGGAACGAAAGTGTGATTCAACACTTGATTATATTTCACATCATTCATCAAAATCTGTGAAGTAACTAAAGGTATTAAATACATGTAGTGGAGTAGAAGTACACCATTTACCTCTGAACTGAAGAGGAGTAGGAGTAGAAGTACACAGTAGCAAAACATTGACATACTTTATAAAGTACAAGTATCTCAGAATTGTACCCACGTACAGTACTTGTTGAGTTTATGAACTTGGTTACTTTACACCAGTGGCTATACAGATAGAAAGACTAAGCCTTACACAGAGGCATGAAAACACATTTTCAAAATGCTCAACAGTGCTGCCAAAATTATAAACTGACTGCTACACAATTAAAATAAATGCTTTTATATATGTCTATTAGATGTGACTCTTTGGCGTTTCTGTTATTATTACCTGCTGCTTTAGTTGTTCTGACTGCTAACATCCTGTTATTCCTCATTTTAAAGCCAATATTCCGTGGGATCGGGGGGCTCGGGTCCTTGTCACCTTTTTCATACCTGATGAGTTTGCATCCCTGACTATAGTTGCTTTAAGCGTGTAGAAGCTAGTAAGCCTACTATTTGATTTGTTTTAGATAGGCACTACATGTTTCATATGCAGACCTCATTTTCCTGTTCCATGTTAAGGCGAGACACGGCAGGCAAAAACATCGTTTTTCAAGTACTGGTCAATTTATAGATTTTGTGCTATTTTGATTCCATAACATGTTTTCTTTCAGGTTTTTGGAAGGAAAACGTACAAAATACACATTTAAGTGTTTATGTTACTATAGTTTTTCTATTTGCGTCTGTAGATTTCTCCTAAATTCACCAAAAGTTAGCATTCTAACGTAACATAAAGTACCGCGACCGCTGTGTGCACCATGTCAACAGAGGTATCGCTGGAAAGCTGTGTCTCTCCTGCAAATATGGTCATTTCCTTTGTATCAGCAACCAATCGTGAAAGTACAAAGGGGTCTTAAACCAAGAAACGAAATCTCATTGGCTGGTGTCAATTTCTGACAACGTGATTCGTTCAGATGCGTCACGTGGTGTGCTAAAACACTTCCTGGTTAGCTTTCAGCTAGAAATTGAAATCTCAAAATGCCAAAAGAATGGCGAAAAAAACGTTCACATAGAAGACAACAACAATTGTCACTTGCACGAAGCAAGGTTATAAAAAAAAAAAAAAAAATGACCCTGAACATGAAATACCTTCACGGAGTGCGTCGATGCGCAAGCTATCATCCAAAGAACAGGAGGGTTTAGCTAGCGCCTCACTGCAATCTTTAAAGGTCGTTTTCTCAAAATGAGTTTTTTCTCCTACTCTGAGTTAGAAATGTCAACTTCAGTAGCACGTAGATACACAAAACCTTCCAGTTATATTCCTATCAATATTATGAAGGCTTTTACAGAAGGGTTTGTTCATATATAATTCATAGCCTGAATTATACAACATTGTATACCTAAAAACATGGCGAAAATGGATATTTTAGGGCTGTTGACAGTATTTTCTGATTTATGGAGTGATAAAAAGAGATATCCAATATCCCTTCTGTAAAAGCCTTAGATACTAATATGACTACAAAATGAAACAAGAATTTTTAATCTGGCTATATCCAAAGTTCAGATTTCGATTCCTGAAATGTGTTAAAATATGTGCATATTTAATGAGATAATGGATAATTTGCATGTTTAAACATGCTATTTCAGAAAACTTGTAATACAAAAGACAATTGCCTTATTGTAAGTAATTAACTGGAGAAATTTCGAGCCTTTAAGTAAAAAAAATTACCCTATTCACCTGGGGTGTCTCTTCTTAAAATAAACCATTTTCAGTGGTCATTTTTTTTTTGGTCATGGAAAATTAGGTAACGGTCATTGAGAAGTCATTGAAAATCATTGGTGAAAAAGTGTATGAACCCTGCTCCCTGATTACATGCAGATATTTAATGCAGGAAAACAGACAGCAGCATGCCTGCCTTACATACTGTGTGCTCTGTACCTACTCGGGTAGGCGGGTACGTTTGTGCAAAATTCAGTGGGCAACCGCAGTGTAGCACAAAGTAACCTTTGTTATTGGTCCACTCATCTTGGTTTGAAACCAGAAGCTCAATGTGTTGAATGTTCCAGTTGGCAGAGCAGAAAACTAACTGCTCTTCTCCCCTTCTAGCTGCAGCTCCAGCCTCAGCCCACCATGACGTCCCCTCCTCAGTCGCAGGACTGCCCCCCCCCACCACACTCCACCCACAACCCCCCACAGTCCAGCCACCTCGGCCTATCGGCTGCTTCCAGCGCTGCCCCCAACAGCAGCCACCAGCAGGAGCTGCAGGCCAAGATCCTCAGCCTGTTCAACAGTGGGCTGACAGCCAGCCAGCCCCCCCCCGTCCCCCAGCCCAAGCCCTACGGCTCGCTCGGCCCTCCCCCCTCCATGAATCCAACGCGTCCACCCATGCCCGGCCCCCCTTCAGCCCAGGGTTATGGCGCCCTTCAGGGCCGCATGCAGGTCCCCCAGGGTGGCCAAAGACCCCCCACCTCTGCCTCAGGTATTAATTTTGACAGCCCGAGCGTACAGAAGGCTCTTGACACCCTCATTCAGAGCGGACCGTCTCTCAACCACCTGGTGGGCAGCTCCGCCCCTCAGCAGCCGCCCCCAAGGTCATCCCCTGGTATGGGCCAAGCCCCCCCGATGTCCATGTACCCCCGGCATTACTGATGTCCGTAGTGAATAACATACTCCCCTCTCCCTGTGACACCTCAGACCCCCCACTAATTCTCTGTGCAGTGAAATAACCGCCTGTGTAAAGGTAGATCGTACAGTTGAGTGTTTTGTTAAAGCTTTTAATCTTCTTTTGTTATTATGAATTTTGTGTTCAGTTGATTTAGACAACTTGGCGGGATTAGCTAATGTTCTGTTTTTTTTATTATTAGTCGGAAGATAATTATTGAGTCTTCTTAAATGTGAGTTAAACTGAGGCATGTGTATCAGTTTGTTTTTGATGGACTCCTTTGTTCTTTTCCAACCATGATGTGTTTTTATAGTTTTGCACATAGTGGTTTTTTTTTCTATTTGTAACAATTTCATTGTAAAAGAATGATTTAAAAACTCGAGACACAATTGCTGTAATAAAATGGTATTGGTTTATTGCATTTTGTGCTGACAAATCTATAAAATGGAACGGGTATCGCCAGAAGCATTTGAAATGTAAGATAAAACTACTTTTTCCTCTTTTTTCTATGTACCATGAAACACAATAGAGAATAATACATGTCTTTTTTAAATTTTAGAATATTTAACTTACACTGACACAAAAAAAACACCTCCACACTAACTGTATTTGATTTATTTACACGTAGGCCCCTCCCACCCCACCCCCAGCAGTTACAAGTGCACATGTACACACACTCCCACATAACTGAAAGGAACACACTACGCTTTACCATAAGACCAGGTACAGTATCAAGGAAGAGTAATGAACGTTTCTGAATTAAAAAATAAAATAAATTCATATTACTGATATTTGATACAGGTATGCTGTATATCATTTATATCTACATCCATACAACATGTTTCCCACAACTCCAGTGACTTGAAAACAAACCTGGACAGTGGCAAAATTCATCTGCAGGGAGGTACTGGTTATTCAATTCAATACTATATTGTATATATTTTATTTATATATATATACTATATTTGTAAAAGGCCATAAAGTGTTAAAGGAAAATATATAAGTAATACCAATCATGTCTGTCAGATACATAAGAAGCTGGCTAACTTAATTCACTCGTTCTTGATAGCCATTTTTTTAAATAATTGTTAAATGTATAGTTTTGGACAGGCTGCATTTTTCATCAAGTTGCTGATCTGCAGGCATCTCCTCTACTACTTTGGCACTTTCATAGTTTTACCCTTTTGAAACGATATGTTTTAACTAATAAACCTTTAATAATAAACAGTATTTACTTCTATAATTCACTGGCGCACACATTTGCCCACCATTTATGTATTTAACTGAAATATACTTTGGTAGTCAGTTTATCTGCAGATAATATTTGACACAATGAGAATACCTTGTCAACAAATCCACCATAAAAAATAGAATCTTGTAGTATAATAATAATATTCATCTTGGATACAATGATTGGCCAGTCCTAAGGAAAGAAAATCATAGTACTAGAAGGAAAAGTTCCTAATGTTAAAAACAAAATACTTTTATACCACAAACATCCAATATATTTTCAATACACCTTGTTCAGGATAATCGCATGCATGCACTGAGTTACACAACATGACTGGGACGTGGCTCTGCTCGCAGCGGCCGACGGCCCCTCGACTTCTTCTCTAACTCCCAGAGAGGACGACTGTGTGAAATGCAATCGGGCACATCTGTCTGAAAAATACACTGAAGGGTTTTCCATCTTATCTCAGCTACAGACTACGTGTGCCCTCTTTCAAAACCTAGGACTTTTTCTCTGTTGGTATCTTAAACAGGACAGCCTCCTCAACCTGGTAACAGATGTGTTTCAGAGCCCTTAATATCCATTTAAGGATGGAGACTGGGTAATGATCACCAGCAAGTTTGTCTCATGCTACAGTTGTGCAGGCGAAGGATCTGATCTAAATCATGGATCAGCTGTGGGGAGAGGGGGCGTGCTGGTTTTTGAAAGTAGACCATCAGGTGTCGTGCGAGCAGAGCCATTGCCAGAATTGGAAGCGCGAGTTTTATATTCTTTGATCATTTTTCTGAATTATACTGCAATCACATTAAAATACACAGCTGGGGTGGATTTAGTGGCTGGGATGGGGGAGGCCGGGGGGGATTTTCGGGGCGAATGGGGTGAGGAGGAGAGGGGAAGTGGTGGTGGAGGGAGGGAGGGGGGGGGGGGAAGGCTCACTTCACAGATTGAGTGACAAGCACAATAAATGTAACAGTTACTATTTTTCTTTTTTAAAGAAGTTTGGCGAGAGAATGGAAAGAATGTGATGCATGCTAAAAATGTTCAAGGAAATGCTGACACGAGAAGATGTAAACAAAATCAGCAGGTAGTTTTTGGGTGCTTGCAGTTCAAAACCGCTGCAGGAGGATGGGAGTTAATCATATTTTATAGTCTGGACTGTCAGACCTCCACGGCTGGCTGTAATACACTCGTGTGCCACCAGAGATCTCTGTGGGGCAAGGGTCTGCTTTACTGCGCAGAAACCCCCCCCCCCCCCCCCCCCCCCCACTCCCACTCAGTGTAAAGTGCTTTGCTGTCTCAGCCACATCAGATAAACACTGTCGATCTTTATTGTCCGTGAGACCTGGTGACGAACATTCTGATGAAATAAGTGACACCTCCAGTTGTTTCGTAGAAAATAAACAACATAACAAAATGAAAACCAATGTGAGAACAATATTGCACGTAATCATACAAAACTCTAAGACTTTGCCACAGTGATTGAACAGTGTACAACAAAAGACAACACTAGTCGGTTACAGTGTCTCTGACTTTAGTGATATATATTTACACAGGTGAGATGACCGTTTCCAAGGCCCATCCATTCGCAAACTCAAACATCTCCTATTACGTTACATAAGACTATTGGAGATTGAAATATAACAAGTAACAATATAGTGAACTCATACTTTTTCTTTTATTTATTGTTTTCAAGGTCTAGCGACGTCTCCGGATGAGCGGCAAACACTCGAGAGTTCCCAAAAAAATCTGTAACTCAATGAGAAGGTTTGGCGACCTTTAACCCCGCTCTGCACCTTGAACATATAAGTCATCACTATAGAAACCACTAAAACAAATATTGCCACATAGTACCATGCAAACAGCAATTATAAAACATTTATAATTCAATAAATAAATTCATTTCCAATAAACTTCTCCAATAAACATCAGATATCTTTTCTTTTGAATCAATTTAAAAGGCTCAGTTGATGCAGGCAATGTTGTGGAGACAATCCCAAAATAGCCGCGTTCTTCAAAAACTGACGTGAACGACTCCTTTGTCAGAGTAAAGTGTGGCAAGAAAAGAAAGTCTTCATGACTTGGCACCCTTAAATCTTTGAAAACTAGGAGCGGCTGCTTTCTTAAGTAACACAGGTGTGAAAGGTAGGTGTGTTATAAATTTGAAAAGCAGATAAATATTCATATTTAAATATATTTTAGTGATTTTTGTAAGCTTAAAGTAAATCATCTGTTACGTTACTTCAGGGATTAAAGATAGTGGTTTTTAAAAAGAGAGTAAAAGGTGGAGGATTTGCCCACAGTTGTAATATTGCATCAAGGTATTCAGTGTCTCATAAAACAGAACGCTAACCCTGTCCAAAGGTCTTAGACTTCCACCGCCACTGATATGTATGTCTATACCCTTTTTCATTTGATCTTTAGTCGTCTCTATTTACAGTACAAATACATCTATAGATACTAGCAGCATTCACAACATATGGTCCGACATTCAAGCAACACTAAAACATTTAATACTGTTGTAAATAGTTCTAGAAACTAATTTGTTTTGCTTCCTTATATTGTATATACTGTATATATATATTTATACGGTATTTATTTATATTTCTACTACAAGTGCAAATGACCAAAAACAGTTTCTTTAAGAAAATAAACGGAAATAAAGTAAAGTGACAGCTGTTCTTGGTCAGAGTGAGATGAATCTGGATATTTGTTTTTTTAAAGACTTACGAAATCTACATATACAAAATACATGTGTAAAAAAATAAATAACATGATCACATGAGTCCGGATTTTCAACTATTGCACATTCCTTCCAAGATGCACTTTTTAAATCTAAATATGATTTGCTCACAAGTCATTCAGTCGGGGACATGTGTGGCTCAAATCTTTTTCCGATCTGGAGGATATAAAATCTCAGCGGAGAGTCTACTGCATAGAGTTCAGTCTGGTGGACAACGTGAGTTTCCTAGCTACAGAAGCCATTGTCCTCTCTATTAATTTAGACCTGACCCTATAAACAATCAATCAATAGATGTTCAAAACTTTAGTTAGAGCTGATATACTTTCAATCTGAGCGTCTGAACATCTCTTATTTTATCATCTACAGGGGGCGACTTTCTACCCTTAGTGTCATTCCCATTCTAGTTTCATGTAGACACCTCAGTTTCCCGTTTTTAGCACACATTCTAATTCAATCATTTTTGTTCAATATTTCTCTTTGAAAAATACGTTGATATGGCACATTTAATGTATCTAAATGAGGCAAAAACAACAATATATCTTTGAGTGACAATCAAAATGACACAACTATTTGATCAATGTGTGTAACTTTGTCTATAAACATAAATACATATTTGTTCTCTAGATGAAAAAATAACATTTAGTGTTTTTTTTTTTTAATTCAATGAATTTGATGAATTCATTGAACTTTCACTTGTTGCACAGTGGCGGACAGTGCAGGTGCAGTGCTTGTCGAGGTTACAATGACAGTTACCATAATGACAGGAGCCTATGCCATCCAATAAATAAATATTAAAATTCAGCGTTTTTTTCGAGCTGTCCTTCTGAGCGAAGGAGCGTTTTCTCTCCACTAGAAGCTTTTTAGTATGTCACAAAAATACTACACTCATACTGAACAACGCGTCAGAGCTTGTACATTATTTACAGTGATCCACACGAGGGTCGAAGGTGCTGGCAATGATAATCTCCTCGGGGTGTTCGTACGGTCTCCACACTCCGCTGTCACACCAGCCTTCTGGTAGGAAACGCACTTTTTCACAGTTTTATTTACGTGTCAATCTCTACAAACTAAGCTATCCTTGTTGTTGTTTTTTTTGGCACTAACAGTGGCCACGGGGATGAACAGCCACTAAGAAATGGGTAGAAAGAGAGGTGGTGGTAACAGAACACGTGGAGTAGAAACACACACAGTTATAAGGACGCCATGCTAACGGAGTGTTCAGGTTAATACTGCAGGTTTGATCCACGTGCCTTTTCAGTCTTCTTCAAATACCAATGTGAATTTCACAGTTCAATCCTTTACGACTTGCTTCTGCTTCCAGCTGGTGGTCTGACCGTGTGCAGCAGTGTCTTTCTGAAAGAGAAATCACATCGCAGCGGGCAGTCGCGCTATGGGAGGTGTCCGATCACCACAAAGGAAATAAACACACAATCCTACACTGAGCTCA